ACCTGCTGGACTCCGGTGATCCTTCCGCCTCAGCCTTCCAAGTAGCCGGAACTACAGGCACGCACTGCCCAGGCGGGTCTTGACCCCGTGGGCTCAGGCAATCCACTTACCTCGGCCTCCCAAAGGCGCAGGATTACAGGCTGAGCCACTGAGCCCGGCATTTTTTGTGTTTTTCTTAATGCAGATTCCATGTTATTAAAAATGTACTTGAAATAGGTAGATCCAATTATTTTCTTTTCATAGAATGTTGGTATTATGGCATTATTATAATAGAATATTTCAAATGCATGAAAATCTCAAATATATTTAATATAAAAAATGAAGAAGAGGCATATGTTTTACTGTCGTATTTCCATTCTTATTTTAATTAATTAATTAATTTGTCTTGAGTTGAGATCTTACTCTATTACCCAGTGCACTGAAGCCTTGACCTCCTGTGCTTAGGTGACATTTTGGCCTCATCCCCCGTAGTAGCTGGGACTAAAGGTGTGCACCACCATGCCTAGCTAACTTTGGGATTTTTTGTCGAGACAGGTCTTGCTATGTTGTCCAGACTAGTCTCAAACTCCTGGCCTCAAGTGATCCTCCTGCCCCAGCCTCCCAAAGTGCTAGGATTACAGGTGTGAACCACTGCACCTGGCAATTCTTCTTTTTAAAATTCATGTTCTCCGCCGGGCTCGGTGGCTCAGCCTGTAACCCCAGAACTTTGGGAGGCAGAGGAGAGAGAGGATTGCCTGAGTCCGTGGGTTCAAGACCCACCCGTGCAACTTGGCGAGACCTCGTCTCTACAATAAATCATAAACTAGCCGGGCGTGGCAGCGCTTCCGGTTACTTGGAAGCCTGAGGCGGAAGGATCACCGGAGACCAGCAGGTTGAGACTGCGGAGGCCGGGAGCGTGCCACTGCACTTCTAGTCTGGGCGACAGAGTGGGACTCCAACTCAAAATAAATAAATAAATAAATTAAATTAAATTAAATTCATGTTCTTCACGGTTATGATTTTAGGATACATATAATTTAATATTCTTAAAAAAGAATTTAATATTCTGCATTTTTCTTATATTGCAAGCCTGTCTCCATACTGCAATGTACTACTGAAGCAATATTCATAGTAATAACAGTATTTGAGAGTGAGTTTTAGTTTCCTAAATTCAGTACAACTGTAGATGAAAAACAAAGGCAGGCAAATGGTGATAAATCAGGAATTCAGCATAAGTGCTTCTGGTTTGCCTGCAACTATAACATAAAAGACATAGAAAGACAAGTCAGAATTCAAAAATTCTAACCTTTCAACTAAATGTCTAAGTCAGCAAAAGTAGAAAGTATTATCAACATAATCCTAAGTTCTATGTATACTTTCATTTCTTCTGTAATAGTTTGGAAAGAGATGAAACATTAATCAGTGGCAAAGACTTATTTATCGTGATATGATATTATTACTAAGGCTTTAGTTCTTTAAATTGGATAAATACATGCATTAAAGTGTCTTTCTTAACATTTAGCAAAGTAACACAAAACCTCATTATATAGAACATGTCAAGGTCTGGTTGTGGTTTTTTGGATTCAGTGGTATTCGCTGTTGGAGAGAGGCTTTTATGTTTTTTGTGGGTTTTTTTGAGTTGGTATCTCACTGTCACCCAGACTGGAGATCGACCTGCTGGGCTCCGGCGATCCTTCACGTAGCTGGAACTACAGGCGTGCGCTACCACACCCAGCTAATTTTTTGATTTATTGTAGAGATGAGGTCTCGCCAAGTTGCCCAGGCGGGTCTCGAACCCGCGGGCTCAGGCAATCCACTCACCTCGGCCTCCCAAAGCGCAGGATTACAGGGTAAATTTTATTTATGAATATTTTAATCACAATTTTCAAAAATCCCCCAATATAAAGCACATTGAGTAAAGTGCATTACACCCGTATATTCAGTTTAAGAAATAATTATAAAGCAAATATATGTGTAATCACCACCTAGCCCGGGAAATATTATCATTGGGTATCCCTGTGCCCCTCCCCATGACAACCCTCTTCTTAAGTAACCACTATTATGGCTCTAACATTTGCTTTCAAAAATCAGACTGCGATGTGATAATGCAACACTACAAAACGCCAAGACTATTTCTTTAAATTTCAATATTTTCCATAAATACAAAAAAATCCCACTTAATAACTTTTAAAGCGCTCTTTAAAAAAAAAAAAAAAAGCCCCTTCCTTTGCTCTTGAAACTCTTCACATTCTAAAACATATTTTGGTTCCACAGTTGACCTCACCTGCAGAGTTTAATTAAAAAAAAAAAATCTTCAGTGTAGATTTTCATTCCTCCCGCTCTCCCTTGCCTCCAACTACAAAGAAACAATGATTTAAACCCTTTGTGCCCTTTTAGAAAATTACACAGATACCCCATTGTGGAACCCTATAATCCCTTCGTGGAAAGGAAGAGATTAGCATATGAATACAAAGCAAAATGAATCCAGAATACAAAATGATCTACTGGATTGTGAAGCTCTTGTATTCTTAAAAATGTATTTATTTCCTCTTTTTGTATTGCCCCTTTAGTGGTCTCAGGGTTAAGGGAATTGAGCTTCCCTTCTGGTTACCCGGAAAAGGATTAAAAAAAAAAAAAAAAAAACCACCAGATTCTAGGAGGTGCAAAACCAACAGATGGCTCCCAACGCCAGTGGAATCGCCAGCGGAATCTGCTACACTCGACATGAGCTTGCTTGCCGGCAAGGAGTGTAGAAAGTGCTGTTCGCAGACTGCGTGGTGAAGGAGAGAAAGCGACAGAAGAGAGAGCCATAGTGCTGACGTTGAAGGCCCGGCCCTGTGAGGTTGCATAGGGTAAGTGGCGTTGGCCAGGAGGCAGTGGCGAAGGGGCAGGAAAGAGGATTTGGGCTAGGGGCGGGGCCTGCGGCACAGCGTGGCTTCTGATTGCTGGAGCGCAGCTGCCAATCTCGCAGAATCGCTGGGTTAACCAGTGCGCTGGCGAGACGCGCTCAGATATACTGAGTGAGTCCTGAGAAGCAGCCTCAGATCCTGACGGTGCAGCAGTCCGCAGCCTCAGCCAGGGAGTCCCAGCCGCTTTCAATGGAGGAGAAGCCCGGCCAGCCACAGCCTCAGCACCATCACAGCCACCACCACCCGCACCATCACCCCCAGCAGCAGCAGCAGCAGCCGCACCACCACCACCATTATTATTTCTACAACCATAGCCACAACCACCACCACCACCACCATCACCAGCAGCCTCACCAATACCTGCAGCATGGAGCCGAGGGCAGCCCCAAGGCCCAGCCAAAGCCGCTGAAACATGAGCAGAAACACACCCTCCAGCAGCACCAGGAAACGCCGAAGAAGAAAACAGGTCTGGGAGGGAGCACGGGTGGGG